GATGTTTTTTTTGCTTTCATAGTGTTTTGTTTTTGTTTTGGGGGCTCACTATTTATCCATAGCTGGGACCCTAACAGGTCCTACCACCCCAGATCATAGTGAACTTGGGAACAACAGCAATTAAGATGTGGTTCCATGCTTTTCAAAATCTTCAATCTCCCAATTAGGGGCCTTGCTACCAGATTGTAGTGGAACACACACCTATTCTATTGTTAATAGGCTCTCCCACCTATATAAGCAGGAGTAGTAACTTGTCGCTAAAATGGTTCCAGTAAGTTAATTGAGTCAGTCGATGTCAACGACCGTTAGTTGGATATTGTGCTATCAACCACTACAAGTAGATTTCTCGTCATTAACTATTATATCAAGTTTCATCGTTTTGTCATTCAACCTATTTTAGGACCGACTTGAATGAAATACAAGCTCCACTGTGAAAACTACTCCTAACAACTTGGCGATGGAGGGATTCAAACTCATAATGGAGGAAGAAAAAACTTTTCGCAACATAAATGCATAAAAAACAGATTTAACTTTATTGTTGTATCCAGGACTAAACATTATATGGCATTTGTATATTACAAAAAACTTATATACAGTGTTTATAGATATAAAATTTTATTTAATTGCCTAAAAGAAAAGACAACTGACCTTTTGATGTTGTAAATCACTTTCAACAGACCCAGTAGATGTTTTCTGTAATTCCACATTCTGTTGCAGTGTACTGACCTGCAAGAAATCAAGGAGATAAAATAGGGGATTGACTTTTAACTGTTGTCAAATATAAAATTAATTTTATTCATTTATTTTTACTATTATACTTTAATAAAGTTACCTCCTAAGTTCTCCTCATTTTTCAGTTGGAAATTGTTGAAACTGAGTTATCAAAAACAATAGCAGAAAACCGGAATTGGTTTTAAAAGCTTAAACCTTTTTGAAGGGAAAATAATGTAGAATAGAAACTGTTATGAGAATGTTTATTCATCTGTATGAATGTTTGCTAGGATACAATTCCTCAAAAAAAAAACAATACTTCAATCTCAAAAATTCAAGTAGTTTTATATCTAAAATTGAGGTCTGTAAAGTTCTCAGACAAACACATCTACCAAGATCCATATTCTGATATTTGGCAATTGAAATACAGATTCAAAAAGTGGGTTGGTCTGAGAACTTTCTGTACACTCTTGTAATTCTACTAATGTAAGCATAAAAAGAGGGCAGTGTAATGTATTTAGAGAATTAGACAATATGGCTAAATGTGGAGGATTTCTGACAGTTGTCCCATATAGTCCAATTAAAAAGTGTTGTCATGGATAATGCAGAAACATAACAATGAGTTATCAAAAAAGGCAAATTTTTATTTTATATACTACAGTTTTTTTCAATGCTGCAAGGATGGGATAAATCAAGAGAAATACAATCATCATCTTCTATATACCATCCTGAAGGAAACATATCATAAAAAACTTTCTGTCCTTAATAGATCTTTAATGATCTGAGAAGCTAAAAATACAATCATCATCTTCTATATACCTGTCCCTTCAGGAACAGGAAATGAGGGACCTGCTTGTCCTTAATGATCTTAATTTCCTGAGAGCTTATGATAAACTATAGAGAAATTTTAATCATCATTGGGATATATACACATGTCCCTCTCAGGAAATAGGTTAAGCATGGTAAACAATTTCCTGTCCTTTATAGATCTTAATGAACTTGAGCCTAACATAAAAACAATAAAATCCAATCATCATCTTCTATATACCATGTCCCTTCAGGAAATAGGCAATCATGACTCTCTACAATTTCCTGTCCTTAATAGATCTTAATGATCTGAGAGTAATTATAAACCCTAGAGAAATGTTTATCATCATCTTCTACATACTGTGTCCTTCAGGAAATAGGCAAATTGTCCTGTTTTTCACCTTTATGGACTTAATGATAAAGACTATAATAAACCCTAGAGAAATACAATCATCATCTTCTATATACCATGTCCCTTCAGGAAATAGGCAATCATGGCTATCTACAATTTCCTGTCCTTTATAGATCTTAATGATCTGAGAGCTATGATAAAATCTAGAGAAATACAATCATCATCTTCTATATACCATGTCCCTTCAGGAAATAGGCAATCATGACTCTCTACAATTTCCTGTCCTTTATAGATCTTAATGATATGAGTTATGATAAAAATCAATAGAAATAAGATGAAAGAAATCTTCTATCTGTTGTGTCAATTCCAAATGTGTATTATATATATAGATTTGTAGTTCTTAAAGATTTGAGAGTTGTGATAAAATCAATAGAATAAGATGAAAGAAATACTAAACAAAAATTTAAGATTTCTCTACAAAGACCAACTTACATTTTCTTTCATTGCTTGAATATCATCTTCCAGATTTTCTTTCTCTTTTGTGATTACAAAAAGTTTTTCTTCAAGATTCCGGATAATCACTGTTGGTAGGAAAAAAGGTCAATGCAACAAATCAATGACAAATCGATTGAATTAAAAGAGCAATCAATAATTCAATAAAAAGATTGAATAAATCTAACAATAGATGTTTTAACGGATCAGTATTTGAATCATGCATTATTTTCGTAGATGATTTGTTTTATTTGTGTGATTATTTATAATCTTTCTTTTTGTGCATGATTATAAAGAGAGACATATATATTCTTTATATAGATAAAAAATACAAATTCAGCACACACACACACACACACATAAAAAAATCCTTGATACACACACATAGATCTGAAAATAATATGAAAGTCCTGTTGTGAACAATGAGGTCAGCATTGGATCTTTTTGTATTTTGCATGATCTCAGAGGATATTGGAGAAAATCAGGTAAGGAAAGACATATTTCATTTGTGCTTTCTTAAGTCTGATACTAGCCCAGATTTGCTGGGGACAAGTCAACAAAGCCACACTGACAGATGAAAGTTGTTAAAGCAGGATTTTGATGGCGTGTCTGCTTCAGAGCTTAACAAAGCTAATCATGGTTTTTCAGTCTACTGTCTTCTTTCACCCTTTTTAACTTATTGAAATGTGTCCTGTTATATATATATATATATATATATATATATATATATATGTATGTATATTTATTCTGTTTAGTAACCTTCCCTAGGTTACAACAATATATAACCTTTTTCAACTTTAAAGTAATGAGCCCTTGGTCTGTTTTTAAGTTTTTTCCCGGTTATTTTAAAATTTTGCTTTTATTCTCACTATGCCTCATAAAATAATAATTCTATATACATTAGTTATCTTCTTTTATATATATATATATATATATATATATATATATATGGCAATATGAGAGAAGTCAACAGGTTATGCAAGAGTGACCTGAAAATATAACAGCCAGAAAAATACTGATATAAGCTTTATCCTTTCATTTCATAGCAGAGCAGTTACAGCATTTATTTCATTTAGGAGAAGTTTGGTTTAATTTTGTTTGTTTTATGGCATATCAACTTTGATGGGTTTATTTAATGCTGACAAAATTTTTATTTCTGGTAATATTTTTTCTTAAAAATCTATAGCTGGTAATATCTTTTTTCACAAAATGTATTGCTGGCAATAAATTTTTTTTTTACAAAGTATTTCTGGTATTAACACCTTCATCTTTTACACTTTCATAGTGTTTTGGACCCCAGTTTTTTATTAACTATTTACCCATATTTGGGACCCCATAACAGGTGCTTCCACCCCGGTCAGGGGGTGGACCTGGGAACACCAGCAATTAAGAGGTGGTTCCATGCTCCTCAAAATAGTCCTGATCAGAGGCCTTGCTGCTGGACGAGTTTATCGTCTTACCCTAGACGCCGGATGTAGTTTATCGACATACCTGGGATTGATTTTTGGAGAAGAAATGTTTGATTTTCATTTAAAAAGAAAATTGGTGTATCCAAACAAGCAATCACAAAGAATACAATAAGCACAGGATAATCTAGCAAAAAAGAAAGAAAAGGTAAAAGTAATTTTTTTTTTTTTTTACCAATTCCTCATTTAATAGATGGAGATGAGCAATTATTGATGGCACAGAAAGATATACTAGCCATTAAACAAAAAACACATTTACTGGGTGATAGAAGCAGTAAAACGATTTCATGCCTGGGGACAATCAATGATTAACTTGTTTCAAAATGAAGTGGTGAAAAAAATGTAAGATTGTTGATCAAAAGAAACTCAGGATACAAGAGCGAAGATTCCTCATCGAAAAATACACATATATTAGCTGGAGGCGGGGGTGCATCAGAAATTGAAAGGATGTCAGAAACAATAACGGTGATAACAATGTATGCTCTCCAACAAAAAAAGCATTGCCTAATAGCTAAGATGGAATCACAAAATACAACAGTAATTCATTTTGTTTAGAGATTTTTTTAACCAATTTAATAACATCATCCCAAGTTGATATTTCTTATCCCGTTGGTTATAGTTAATAATTTACCGATATCTGACGCAATATCTCTAGTCAGCAATAATAACTGACTACATATATTTGATAAGGGTTTAGTTTAAAATTGCAGTTTTAACGTCAGTCGAGCTGATTAAACTTGTGACTGAGGGAGGAGAAGCCAAGAGTTGAAAGGAAATATTAAGTCATTTTGCATGCAACAAGATATGAGAAAAGTTTATCTGTAAAGATGAAATGTTTTGAAATTTAAGAAATAGCTGGCTAAGACAAAAAGTTAACTGACATTATTGTCTCTTCAATACAGAAAAATTGAGTAGTGTGATGAAAGAGTCAATGTTTATTCAATTCAATAAATGTTTGTTTTGGAATTGTCTGTCAACCAATATATTTTACTGTTAGTACATAACATGATCCTGAAATGACAGGCATACCAATACAAGGCTTTTGGACATTACTACACATTTATATACATATGCTCTTGAATTTATTTGTCGGCAGAAACTTTAAATACCATCGGGTGATACAATTTTTTTATAAATTTGTGATATTAATAAGAGAAGAGTGCTCAATATCAAAAATACTGATCTTATAGACACAGGAATCAACACTGCATGGTGACACTGTATGAAAAATCACATTCAAGCATAAAAGCAACAATCATGATGTGTTCTTGATTCCTATGTGTCTCTCTTTCTCACACGCCACATTACATATATATATATATATATATATATAAAGAAATATAGTTTTAAGGTGTACTATATTTATAGGATAAAAGTGCTCAATATCAGAGATAGAGCACTGTTGGCCATATATATATAGTGGACATTGTCATATCAACACTCAGGTGGTCTAACGGCTGTGTCTAGCATGGTTAAACAGCCAGTTGTCTATGAGTGTAAACTTCAATGTTCACTTTATATATATATATGTGTGTGTGTAAAAAATGAATTTGTAATTAGAGAGGAAAGAGTGACCAATGTTATTCTGATTTCTACAACTTAATTTTTTGCTTAAATTAATAAACTTCATGTTGGAGTTTTCATACATCTGGTACATTTTTTTTTTTTTAAGCATTTCACCCCAAGAAAGGCAGGAAGCCACTAGCACGCAAGGGGTTACAGAGAGTTGGAGTGAGAGGAAAGGATGAAGAGAAGGATAGGGGATAGATCAAGCCATCTGGAGACATCGATTGACATTACATTTGAATAGTTGGAGATTATAGCTATCAGGGAAACAAGAAAAGGGGAGGGATTTCCACAGGCGAGAGGTGTAAGACATGAAGCTATTGAAGTAGAAGAGACGGCTACATTTAACAGTTTCGACAGTGAAAGGCTGAGGGCAAAATATTAGACGTTTCTCAAATATGTTTCGACATCAAAAGGGTCTAAAAACTGGGTGACACTTCCTAAGAATTTTTTGCACTGTCACACATTTGGGCAGAAAATTAAATCCATTTAATGTGCAATAAGCAAAAACAGTTTCTAACCGAAAATGAAAATAAATATCGAGGCTGGAATAATAATAATAATGACAGGAAAAATAAAAAATAAATTTAATGGCTGAGGAGTATTATTATTATTATAGGTTTTGTTTTCGTTAAAAACAAAAAGAAAATGGGTCGTAAGTCATCAAAGATGGCTTATAGTGATGCTCTTTCTGGCTGATTATATTGTTTTCACTCTTAAGTGATGAGCAATTAAAATTATGTAGTAATTAACAGCCACATTAATGGTTCTAATTATTTTAACCAAAAGAAATACAGATGCCAAAATAGTGACAGATACTAAAGATTAATGAAGGCTACCAAAAAAGTTGCAACAAGGACAATAATGAAGCTTAACTCCTTGAGTTGGGGGAGGAGTAAAAAAAAAAAATTTTGAAATAACGTTTCTAAGAATGAAGCTTATTTTCTTCGAACTCTTAAAAAAAAAAAAAAAAATACAGCTTCATACGAAATAATACAATAAATAATAAAATTTATTAGCTTAATAAATATTTTCAAATACAATCAAAGTTTTAAATTATATCATAAAAGAAATGCAAATCAAGCATTTAGCAAGATTTTCCTTAGCAGCAATATGCAAATTATTTAAAATACATTCCAATAAATTTTCTTTGATATCAACAAAATACAATTGCTGTTTTGATCGGAGTTAATTTTTTGACAAAATTCAATGCACAGGATTGTCATTATAAAATTTGATCTTTCGTTACAATAAATTTGTTAGCAAAAGGTATAGCGAAAGGTGTATGCAATGAATATAGAAAAAACAAGGTATTTATTATAGTCTTACCTAGTCGGGAAAAGTGGTTTCTTGAAAGAATGTTTTGAAAATAGTTTATTTATTGATGAACGGAAGTAGATAACTGTGGCAATTAGATTGCTTTCCGCTTAAGAATTGTTGGTGTGGACCTAGTTGCAATCGCATCAGTTGGCACAACTGTTTTTAATCAGGAAGATAAAAATATTCTATTTCTTTAAAAATCTTAAATAGGTTGTGAAAATTAATTACATAAATTACATACATGAAATTTGGCAAGAATTTGTATCGTTAGTTAATTGTAAAGTTCTTGCTTAAAAAGTTATTCGTGAAAATGTACCAAAATTGTGATTTAAAAATTCTACTTTACAACAAAGCCAACAAGATATTCTATTGTATTGTAGAAAGAAAAAAAAAAAAGAAGATTTTTTTATCCATATAAAATATGTCAATTTAATCATTAAAGCATACACCAACTTTAATTAAAGTTTATCAAGTCGCTTTACTAAAATGCTAAGACTAAAGTGATTTGTCATTATTTAATCACAAAACTGTTCTTTTTTTCTCTCAAGTTCAAAGAAACTAGCTTGTAAGACAAACTTCTGTAATGATAAAGAATCTGAAATGTCACTCCAAGGAAGATAATAAAGCCAAAGGTTATTGAAATGAACGAGAATAAGAAGACGAATGAAGAAAAAAGAATAATAAAAAGAACAGTATTCAGGAAGACAAGATTGCGATTAACATTGTATTTAATTTAC